TACTATGATACTGTTACCTTAATCAGTCGTGCTACTTATCTTGAAGTTTGGGTTCAGCAACAAATGAGTCTTTCGCTAAATGATCTTTGTGATAAGATATTATCATCATTGGACAAAGGACTAGTCACAGTCACACAATCACTCCATTATACTTACAAGTCAAAGCATATGTTTGGAGTACCATGTACATGCACTGGTGTACCTCATCCTGCTGTAATAGAGTATTGTTCAGAAGGAGCTAAGTGTACTAATGGTAATATAATGCAACTTGATGAGAAACATTTGTACTGGTCTAAAAAGGTATTAAATATAAATAATTTATATTATTTTAACAGAATGCTTTATAGGTTGTTGAACTAACAACACTGATCCCACCTCTAGCTGGTAAATGATTCACTTCAATGTTTTAATTTCTAGTAATAATTATTATTTATAGAGTCACTGTCACATGATGATGATGATGTAGCCACTACAGTTTCTGAAGACAAAAGGAACGCAGAAAGTTAGTGTACAATTATAAGCTACTATTAATTTGACTCATTCTCCTATAGAAATTTTTCGTCATCATTCATTTAATATTTCCAAGTCAATTGCTAACAACATAACTCGTGTTGTTGATCAATTGTGGGCCTCCGGACTAATAAGTGATGATATAAAAGATAGCCTCTCCACTGTACTTGGAATAGACAACTACAACAAAGCCAGCAGGCTTATGGGTAACATTAATAATATTCTCCAGACCCATCAAAATCCCACTGAGTATCTTACTGATGTGTGCTATGCATTGTTCCTTACAGACAATGAACCACTCAAGCTCATTCTTATTAATATATTAAAGGAGTTAGGAAAACCACCACCTCAAGGTAAAAAATTAATTAAACCTATTGTATACACATTACATAATACTACAGACAGCAGACAGGATTGTAGTAAAAGCTCCTCTTTACACAAAAGACCAAAAGCAGCACAAAGTACATGCACAATCACTTATTAATTATTATTGCATATTTATAGAAGACATGTTTGCCAGTAAGAGGTTTCAGATAGACTCTGAAGATTCTTATGACAGCGGCAGAAATACTTCTGATGATGGACAGTTCTCTGGTAGTGGCATTTTACAAAATGAAAACAGAGGACAAAAGAGACACAGAGAAGAAGATAGTTCTCCTGGAGATTTTACTACAATGAAAAAGTCAACAGCTCAAACCTCAGAAGTCATCAGTTTATTGTCTGATGATGATGATGTCATAATACTTGATCCTCCTCCTCCTTCAGATAAAGGATATGATAAAAGATCAACTGGAAATAAACCACACAGAAGAAAAACTGGCTCCAACAAATAATGTAAGCAAAAAACATTTACATCAGCTTTAATTCCACTTGTAGGTACTGAATGTTAACCCTCTTGTCACTTATTTTACTTATTTTTTATACACAATCACTTAACATTCATTTTTTGTTTATAAATGATAAAACCATAAAAATTTGACATTAAAAATATTAAATAGAAATCATTATAATTATAATAGTCATTTTACAAATCATTTCTTGAAGGAGAAACAATCTAAAACAAAAAGAAGATAAATACATTATGTCCTCTTGACCATCTCATCCTCTCTCTCTCTCTTCTCAGGATCCATTATTCTCTCTCTCCCTTACCTTCACTTGTTGTCACCTCCTCCTCCTCCTCCTGTTGTTGTTGTTGTTGTTGTTGTTGTTGTTGTGTTATTGTTAGAGACAAACTGTATTGCTCCAAGTGATGGCTTGATTGGTGTGTCCAATAAACACTTCATTGCATACCGTTTACCTTGAAGCTACAATAAATACAAAATAAATAAATTATAATAATACATGAAAATTTACTATGGAGGATCATGCACAGTCTTAATATTAAAAACTCACTTTCTCATTTTTCTCCATTTGTCCAGCAGCAAGGTCAAGGAAAACCTGTCTCAGTTCTTGTTCCTTCCTTAGATCAAATTGTGCCAGTTCGTCGGATAAATCTCTATAAATCATCTCAAGATATTCTTTGGCATCTGAGCAGTTGCTGCTAGCTTGAGCCCACTTCTCACTAATAGAATCATCAAGACCAATGTTCCTCCTTGAGGGTGACCAGCAATTACCACTCCCATG